CCCCCCCCCCGCACTGCCTCTTTCTCGGTGCCTCTGTCTCTCTCTCTTCTTTTCTTCCTTTGCCGTGAAGGAAGAATAAGATTCAGGAACAATAGGTTGTAAATTCTTCAGCAAATTAGTCCAGTAACTTACTACTGTTTATAATGCACAGAATGTCACAGGCTGGTTTGCAAACTCCCCAAGTTGGTTTGTTAATAACAGGAAGCTAGCACTTCTCAGTACAGTGGATCAGCTACACGGGAAAATAAATGCAAAAAACCTGGAGGGGAATAGCAGCAGACCAAGAGTAGCCTTGATTTAATTTAACATTTGGGGGTCCACACACAAATGAGCATTTTAGTAGGCTTCATGGTGGAAGTTGCTGTCATTTGTAAAATATTCTGGCCAATTAGCTAATAGTGTGCTTGGATTTCTCCTGTTTTGATACAGTAATACTAAGTACATTGTGAAGCCCAATTATACAAATCATCCCCATATGCCATACCAGTCTTTCTTTATGAACTGTGTTTATAAATCCTGTGTGAGGAAATGTGTACTTCAGCAATTTAGACCATGTGTAAAAACATAGCCAATGGGATTGTCAAGAAAACAAGTTCCAGCCTAGGAAATCCTAATGTGTTCCGCTGGAATAACAGGAGGGTGCCGGGGAGTGCAATGCTCTGCTTAAATACATATTGCTTTATAGTGTTTAGCCAATTTAGGGGCTTCCGCTTCCCTTTCTGTTACTTTATTCTTCTTTTCTTTTAGGATCCAACCTTGGAGTTTTTGAGAAAATTTGGGATTGGTCTTCTCTCGGGCACAATAGCCTCAGTCATTAACATCCCTTTTGATGTTGCCAAAAGTAGGATTCAAGGGCCTCAACCAGTTCCTGGAGAGATCAAGTACAGAACCTGTTTTAAAACAATGGCAACAGTCTACCAGGAAGAAGGGTAACATTCTTATTTTAATAAATGTGCAGGACTCAAGTACTATTAAAAGCAGATCGTACTTCCATTTTGCTGAGCGCCATTAAGCCCCTCCTAAATTGGGTGTGTGTGTGTGTGTGAAAAGCTCTAGAGAATAATGACAAACTTTGTAAGATAACACAATGATGAAATGTTGGCAACATGTTCTTACACCATCCAGAACCTTGGGCCACCATCATACACCCTGCTGCATGTTTATCTTAGAATCTTCAGATGAACCTTTTTCTTGTCAGTTTGCATAATATGCTATAATATACCCTGTTAACACGTGGGCAGGAGAATGATTGTCTTCTAACTGTAAATCTAATCAAAATGTCACCTCATTATAGTCCCCTGGGAGAATTAAACATGAGAGTTCTGTGCAAGTAGCTTTCTTTCAAATATCTGAAGTACATGTTTTTTCGGCTAGTCTTTTTTTTTAAGTGTTACATCTGTCTCTTCATCCCGCCTCACTCAGATCTTATTCTCAAGTAAACGAGTGATATTTTATTATTTCGATCTACACTATGTCATCTTTCCTTTTGTGAAGACCAAGTTTGTGGTCTTTTAAATTCAATTACAAAAGTCATTTTGTCCATATACATAGCTGTCTTGAAAGTAAGACCTGTGCTCATAGCAAAAACCATCTTGCTGAGGAAAGTCATATTTCTGGTTGGACATGATCAGCATAGCTTGCGCAATAAAGAATTCATTAACTCTTTCCCTTTGTCCAGTTTGCTGCAGAAAATATATAGCCAGATATTGCCTGGTTTGGGATATGTGTGATTTCAAATAAATTTTCTTGTAGATGCTGGGTCAACATCTCAATAAATCTGGTCCATTCTATTTTCAGAATTCAGAATTAATTTCAGAATTAAGAATTAAAAATGTTGCTCTTTCCCTTCCTATTATAGGATTTCAGCTTTGTACAAAGGCCTGCTTCCCAAGATTATGAGGCTTGGACCAGGTAATGATGTCTTTATTACTTCTATCCTTCCTTCTTTGTTGTTCTGCTGTCTCTTTTTTTCTTATTTGTATCGATCAGCAACATGGTATGTTGATCACACTGTCAAAGATGGAAAACAGGAGGATATAAAGCTATCTACGAGTATTCAAGACACTGAAGGCATCCATTAGAAATGTTTTCCACCTTTGTTTATAAGGTACTGTTTAAGACTTCGCTGGAGGCTGGCAGAAGCCAAAGCCCAGCTTAAGTCAATAGGAAAGGCTCCCCAGCCAGTAGGAGTTTGAGTGAGCAAGGAGGCTCTGGGGGAGGATTTTCACTGAGCCCATAAAACTCTGCTGGTGCCCCCCCCCACCGCAGTTCATTCTTGTTCCTGCCTCAACTTCATTTCAAAAACAAAAAAGAAGGGTAACTTGCCTCCACGAAGCGAGGCGCAAGAACCTCTTGTCTTCACGGGTCCCCCGGGAGGGCTGCGGTGAGTGTAGCGCCCAGGGAGTGGTGGCAGGGCAGTCTGGCGCTCACCTTCCCGGTGTCTGTCAGCATGATGGTCGAGGCTCCTGGCTCAGGGCCTTGCCTGCAGACGCCAGCCCACAAAAAACCGGCTGCCATTCCCACAGGGAGAGTCAGCTGCCTCTATGTAAATAGATAAGAACATAACTGCTGCAGACCCAACCACCTAGGCAAACAGTCTTGGATTATAAGCAACCCTGTGTCTCAGTACAGGAGTAGGTGCCAGCCACACTCACCTACTTAGGTGTCCTGGAGTCCTCTCCCAGAAGCTTCCCCTACCCCTCGCCCCTCTCCCCTTCCCTTCCTCCCTTTTACCACCACAGTCCTCCTGCCCTACCACACTCACACACAGGCACGTTTTACCGTCCTCGAATCTCAGCTCAGTGAGCCAGCATTTCTACCATCCTGAGGTAGAGGACAGCTCACCCTTTCATGTATTTAGAAAACACTTCCACAATTCTGGGTCCATCTATCCCAGCCTTTCCAGGCATTTAAGCATGGATTTTGCTTCACATTTGAGATGGAGACTTGCCTCCTTGCTAGTCATTGGCCCATGTGTAAAAACAAAGCCAATGACAAAGAATATTGGTGATTTTGTGCAACTCTTTCTGCGACCATGTGGCGTTTTCCCTTCACCACACAGTAAAACCCTGACGGTAGACCTAGTGTTAGAGAAAATCATAGGAATGACCCTAACCCAGCTTTCTCAGGAGGGGATGGGCCTGAAAAGAGTGGTGATCAGGGAGAGTTTACCTAAAACAGTAATTGACTGGAACCTTAATCCAAAACTCTTAAATAATCTGACCCCAAGTTTTGTCAGAGGCTTGCAAATGTTTGGTTGGCTTTTTAAATGTGTTTGCATGAGGTGTCCTGAGTTGCTGTGGTGGTAAATACAATGAAAAGGGCTGTTGTGAGTGGACTGTCCAGGCTAAACAAAACTGTGAATGACTGGAAATCTGCTTCAGGGACCTGGCCTCCACTCACATGTAAGTCCTCCAAACATGCAAGTCCCAGCAGCTTTAAAGGAAAGAAAGGTGGACAGAAAAGCATGACATTTGACTTAAGGATAAGATTTTTTTTTTTCAAAGAGAGAGTAAAAAAGTGAAAGAAAGGGTAAATCTGGGATTTTCATCCTTCATTGTAGGAAGCATCCATCCCATCTTCTTTTTATAACAGCCTCGGCAGCTCTGTGTTGCTCACAATCAGTCACCTGCCATGAAAGGAGGCTCTTGAAGTCTGTGGTTTAAACTCCAAATATCACCAGGCTGAAAACTAACCCAATTCTGCATGTTCTTGTCTTACGTTGAGAACAGTTAATAAAAGTAAACACTGCAATTACATAGGTATTAATAACCTTCTGTTAGTGGGTCTTTTTTTGTTTGCCAGAGTGCCAAGAGGGTTACGGCAGCTGAGAGGGGTCTAATAGAGTATCTTCATGGGTTAAAAATGAAAACAGGCAGATAATTATCTTTGATATAAGGTTACACAAACATGTGTGGTCTGTAGATTAAAACACACACACACACACACACACACACGGCAGTGTGTACAAAATAACTAAGATCAAAATCAAGTTATATTTCTTTTCGTCAGAAGTCAATCTTCTGTTCATGCAGCCAAGTCATCTTGAGGTTGTGCTCAGGATATTTGTCCACATTTTGATTTTGTAATATTTTTTACACAGACACGAGAGGATAGATAGATTACATTAAAGAGCACGGGATATGTGCCATTTTATTGCATCAGGTAGAACACACATGCAAAGGCGTCTCTCGATTCCTAGGTATTCTGCAACCTTGGTGTTTGTTTTTCTGTGTCATAGTCCTGTTGACCTTTCAAGACAAATACTGGTCTGTGACACCCAAACCCCACCACCAAATTTTCAAGTGCAATCCACTCATATCTGAGACAAATAAAAGGAATAAAAGCAAAAGGAGGTTGAAAGCTAGCTATATTTTGTAATACACATATTTTAAAATATTCTGAAGCTATTTTTCACATTGCAATCCACTTTGAAGGCTATTAGAAAAAATCAGACTCATCTATCAAGCACCCTCTTAGAGCTTTCCTTCTTGAATGCAGCTAGGATAATGCTAATTATGGACTGAAAAAGATAAATCCTTTGCCTACATATGAAAAGTATGAATGGTTTCTGTTTGCAGGAACGCCACATGCCCTTACATGACTGAATGTGTCTATATTTATTTACTTTTAAAAATTAAAAGTGCCTGAAAAAGAATCTGATGAGAAATGATGAAAGTTACAGAAACTCATGGGGAAAAAATGTATTTGGAGACTCAAGATGGTCTTGATTTTGCTCTGAGAATTTTCCACAATGGCTTTATATTGATGTAGTAGAGCCCAGGGACTGACGAGTCTACACAGCCCCTGCCTGATAGGCTGCATGGGACTTCACAGATTCAGAAACCCAGTGGGGGAAAATGACACTAGTTTGCAGGATTTGAGATAAAAACCAGCTCTTTTCTTTTCTAGGTGGCGCAGTGATGCTGCTGGTTTATGAATACACCTATACATGGCTTCAGGAGAACTGGTGATTGCCTAGGAGAGGTTGAGATCATGGATGTTTGCTGTACAGCACCATAAGGAGAGACTAGCAGCTCAGCTGATATGATCATAAATTCTAATTATACAATTATGTACAATTATTAAGGGGAAACAGTTCATTCAAGAACAAAACCTATTTTGATACTTCAAAAATTATCTCTACACAATTTGAGACTGTAGTTTTGTCTATATCCATAAATCTGTGCAAAGAAAAATAGTATGAATGGGGTATGTAAATCGAACACAGAAAATAGCATAGAAATCAGATATATTTCATAAAAGCTATATAAATTTTGTGATCTGTATTCCTCTTACACCGCTTCGCAAAGAAAATTCATTGTATCGATAATTATTTTTTCCCACGAGGTCAAGAAATGCTTAGAGTAATAAAAAAAATTAAGCCAAAATTTGAACAGTTTTCATAAGGAATTAAATTCTCCCATAAATAATATTTAAAAGGCACAGGGAAGTGTTTTTAAAGTACACTAAAAGGGCATTTTTAAAATGTTGAATTTTTTGTTAAAATTTAAATCTGGTGGTGTTCTTTGAGTAATAATACATATCACAGCTATATTTTCCCAAAGCCACTTTATATTTTGCACTGTTGTTTAAAGCAGGTCATCCTTTTAAATCCTGATACGTGAAGTTTTTTATGGCAAATAGAACACATGAAATTTCCCTCACATAATTCCCTTTGAAAACAATTTTTGTTGCTGAACTATTTTCATGTTAAAACACAAATTGGAACCAGGCCTTGGGCCCATTTGTGCTGTCCGTATTTGCATCCGGATATCTTTGGTCAGAACTCTTACCCATGCCATTCTTAAAAAGAATGTTTAGAGTAAAACTACATTTCCAGGTTATTAGTTTTAAGTGACAGCTTCAGGCGTGAAGTCAACTACCTGTAGTGTTAAGATATGTACTATGAAGGGGAAAATGTTTCAAAATAGAAGTACATTTTAGCATTTCTAAAAATTCCTGTACTAACATGCACTCTAAGAAACATCTCCTTGGCATTGATATCACCAAACTTGATTTTATATTTGCATCCTGAAACGATGCTACTTCAGTAGCTAAAGTCAACAAAAATATCTGCCCATTCTAGATGACACCTGTTCTTAACTACTACTGAGGGATGTTTCTACCATTAGACTATGTCACTAAAGCATTTTGAAAATAAAAAATAAAAGATAACATGATAATTATTACTTTTTATTAATTTAGAGCATTTGAAGTATAAAAATAAAGGCTTTTTAACATACTGTATATACATACACAGCCTTCAGTTGTACATCCTTTCCAACGTGTTTTTTAACTTATATTTCAGCCCAATATTCCATAAGAAGGTCATTAAAAGTAGAAGAAAAAAAAAAAAAACAAGAGAAATAAGAATGTGTCTGTGGTACAACTGCATTCTATCCTTGCAGGTAATGCTCTTGCATCCTGTGAGGGAGAGAAATGCCCGCATAGAGGCCATGAAATTGAACCTTTAACCTCTCCCTGTGAATGGGATGGAAAAGGATCTCTGAAGAGTGCATTTGCCAGTTTAAAAACAACACTTTTACCCCCTAAGAAACAAAGGAAATATGTCAACATTAGACAATAATAATAATGTTTAAAAATCAAACAATCCCAATCCCGTACCCCGCCCCATTTTCCTTCTCTTATTTTTAAAAGTAGCTTTAAATCATATTTTGCTTTGAATAGCAAATCGTATTTTAGCTTTCTGTTGTCTTTCTTAAGTTACTCCATGTGAATTCACTGTTGCTAAGAAAAGACCTGGGGGAAAAAGAGAAGAAAAAAATCTTGATATCATTAACATTAGATTTTTTAAAATACAAGAACCAGAAAAAAAATTATAAATAGCATTAACAAGAGATTTCTTAATTTAGATAAAGAAAACATTTCATTGTGTTTCCATACAAATGATTGATTGGTATTTTTTTTTTAAAGACTCTTAGTAGCCATCTAAAAACTATCTGATAAGGGATAATTCTATACCTATGTCAGCTTTTCTGGACAGCAGGAGAGTCCCTGCACGGTTATGGTTTTAAAGTCTCCACCAAAATATTGGACTGGTATCTTTGTTCCATTCAGTTTATAGTCTATTTTCTCACCAGACTGGGAACTCCAGATGTCAATAGGAGTTTTATAAGATCAAAGGAAGACTATGGCCCTGAGAGTTCATCTGCTCCTTCTGCTTATTCTTCTCCTGAAGTTATAATCCTCTGTTTGTAGCAATGAATTTTGGTTGCTTTAGAAATAAATGCAGTTCAAAGCTCTCTCTATAAGATATCTGTTGCTTGAAACAAGCAATTCCTCGAATATAACTTATGTGTCAGAAATCTGCTTACTGTTTATATGCTAGTGATCTGAAAGCCTCGCTCATCTAGCCATCTGAGTTTTAAGTGAAGCCATGAAACCGATGTGACGGAACCGGATTGCCGTGTAGACTGTGCACAGCACAGACAGGAAGAAAGCAGGATCACCTCACGAATGCATCTTTAACATCCACATCTAGTGATGTGCCCTTTTAGTTATTGCACAGAATTAATACCAAAAAAAAAACCCCCACAATATATTAATTTTCCAATAGATGAATTGTACCAATGTTTTTAAAATGTAGTTTCAAGCCTACATATTGCCAAGCAGGAAGAACTTTCTAAACAGAAGAGAAAAACTGTAGAATTTTGCCCAAGAAAAGCAGTTGTTTTAAAATACAACACATAGCACATGCTCTCTCACACACACACACACACACACACACACACACACGTATACCCCACAGCTCTGCTATTAATATTAAAGTGAAAACCCCATAGGTCTAGAAAGACTCATCAGCTAAACTATGTCCTGTAACTCCAGAAATGAATAAAGGGAATTAAAAAAAAATTAAATAGCATTTGTATTTCTAATACCACCACCAGTTTACCTACATGTGAAACATGCTTCTGTACAACAATGTAAACTTCACAGCAAGCCGTTTTTACATTCATTAGAGCAGAATTTTCCATTTTCTTTAAATTACAACATAATTTGGGGCTGAGATTGCTGAAGACACAGGTAAGCCAACAATAACAGTACAATTTAGTTTCACAGTGGTTTTCTTAACATAAAGTTCATTTTAAGTGTCTTTGCAAAGAATTTCACATTAAACTTAAGTTTCTAAGTGACTTCCTTTAAAGCCTTCTTGTTCAGATATTTTCCACCCTCATGTCTTTATATGCTTGGCATGTGTGTTGTTTGATTAGGATACAAAATGGGAGACTGGCTTGTTTAATCTGTTTTTGAGTCCTCTGCTGTAGAAAGAAAATGTCCTTCATAAGATGTTGAAGCCTTCACTGCACACACAAAATTTGGGGCAAGTCCAGGTCCAGGAGCCCGAGCAGCCCACCACCAAACAGAGACAAAGACGTTGCCAGAAAGTCACCTTTGCAAAAAGAAAGAAAAAAATAGATGGGGGTGGGAGGGAGGGAGGGGGGATGTCCCATGGAATGAAAACACAAATGCACCATCCAGAGTCCGTATTTACAAACTAATAGAAAATATAAACATTATTGTATTTGGAACCAAGTCAAAACACCAGGAGGAGCTAAATTCAGATATTGCTTGTGTTACACATTCTATTTTCCAACAAAATAGGTCATCTCTTAAGAATAAACAAAGCATCACTCAAACAAGTCAATTATTGATTAGTTTCCTAATGATGAATTAAAGCTTATTTGGTCACCTTATTTGATTAGAGGGTGTAGCATAACTTTTCTTCTATATGTATTTTCCTTTATTGATTTTGCAAAATCTCAACAATTGCACGTTTCAAAAGTTCAGGTTGATTTAGAATAAATATACACATGTGGTTTTACCAAAGACTAGTTTTAAAAGTTCCTTAAGCCCTTTGAGGGGTGCAGGTTTCTTTGCTACGTTAAAACAGTGTGTGGGCAACACAAATGTCTCATTCAATCCTTAAGATTGCTTTTGTTTTCAAATCCTAAAGTCATGTCAGGTTTTCTGTAAGAGAGAAGTTATGGCAAGAAATATTTAAGTGTCATCAGCACAAAGGATGTGAGTCCGTAAAGCCAGCTTTGGGGGCAGGAGGGCAGGAGGGGTGGGATCCGAGACCAGGGAAGAGGGGGAGGGTGTGCTGAGGGGAGCCAGGGTGACGCTGCCGCGCGGACAGAATTTCCCATCAGAGTGCAGAAGCCGTGACAGAGTGACTACCTTCTCTGGCTGCCTGCATTCCCTTGAACGCCAGCGATGCGGGAATGTCACAGTTGTGGGGGGAGAGTGGGGTGCCACTGGCATGTTGCCACCCATGTCCAGCCACATAACCGGAAGGAGCGGCGCTGTAGGTCATGTAAGGCGACACCTGGGCCGGGCTGGGGTAAGGAGCCATGCTGGACGCAGACACAAAACTGCTGACGGCGGGTAGACCATTTGGTGCCTAAGAGTAGGAAAAGAGAAGAGGTGAAGGTAATCACATTGTAGGAGTTGACATTTCACCAGTTTTCAGAAAGTGGCAGAATGTAAGTTCTGAGTAGTAGTAGCAGCAATATTCTGACTCTACTTTCTGATTTTTTTTTTCCATTTGATCCTTACATTCTACATGCATCCCCAGTCTTGCTACTTAAACATAATGCCAAAAGGCAAGACATTATTCCTTCCACAGACGTTTTGAGGAGGCTACAACCAGAAAATTCACAGTATTTGCTTTGCTATTTGGAATTATAGGAAGGAAATAGAGGGTGAGGAAAGAATTAATGGTGATTAAATACTCTCAGAAGCTGTTCAGCTATCCGAATGCCTTTGTCAACCTTCCCTGTACTTTGGTTTTGTTTGGCTCTTTTGTTGAAGCATTGGTGAAGGGCCTGGTTGGTGTAGCTTTCATTTCCAGTAAAGAAGGGCACAGAGTGTAGGCTGTCACTTTAGAAACTCAAAATGAACACGACCTTTGTTAAATAAAACATGGGCTGTATTTTAAAATGTCAGGTTGAAAATGCCTGTTGGACAAAGGACATGCAAAATCAGGCAGTTGTCTTGTAAGAGTTTTTACATGAAGATTGGGGGCATTTTTTTCCAGAGCTGTTCTATCAAAAAGGAAACTGTCTATTGGAATATAAAAGAACTGCATATGTGTGGTTTTAAAATTGGAAAATTAGTTTGCAAAGTTTTGGGGTCCTGTGATAGGAATTTTTAAAAGCTACATGGATAAATCTCTTGAAATGAATTGAAATGTAAAATCTTAGTTTGCAGACAAAATGCAGCAGCCCCGGCAAGCGATTCTGCCCAGAAACCAGCACTCTCTTGGCCTCCAATAAATTATTGTCGGTATTGTTACTATCAACAACAACAAAAACACCCTGATTTCTAATCCTGATTCTAGCATGAACACTTGGCATCCTCCCCCAAGTAACTTATTTTTTTCCCCTCAATTTCTACATTATTTAGAAAAAAGAGTAAATCTTTTCCCTGATAGTGATGTGAATTAACATATCAACATATTTCCTAGTGAGAGTGTAATGTAAATATTAGAATTACTAGTAGTAAAACCGATTCAATCCTTAGAGGTAAGAAAAGCAGACATATGTTAATTAGATACTTTTCCAATTCGATTGCAACACAAATTATTTTCCAATTTAATTCATTTGGTTATTATTTTCACTTCCACATCTATGAGAATGCAATGAAGGGCTCTGAAAAATGATTTTGTCAGTTTAGGGTAATACATAGAGTAGAATAAACACATGGGTATAACTTAACACTGCTCATGGATTTCTGACGAAATAAGAATAAAAGTAGAGGGATTATCCTTATGTACTCAGTCTGTAAGAACACACCCCCTGTTCTGGTTGTCAGAGGAAAGGGAAAGGACACTAAGGCTTTTTGAGTATGTCCTATGTCCCAGGCACCAAGAAATATCCAACATATTTTATGGAATAAAGACTGATGAACTGTAACTCATTATAAACTACTGGGTTTATAATAATGATAAGATAATATGTAATGATTACAACGCAATGTTCAATTGAAATTAAAATGTATAGGATGGTGCTCTATTTTTTAACAAAGAAATCAGTGCACATCACTTTAAAATATAAATGAAATCTTAGTCTCTTCTTATACGCAAGAATGTAGATTAAGGAATTTAGCCATTTACCCTGGGCCAATTGGCAAGTCAATGGTCATGTGTTAAAAGAAGTTACCACCCCTGTCTGACACGGGATCTTCTGTAGCAGATCTTTTCCTGCTTTTTCCAGGGCAATTAAAAGACAGACACAATTTAATATCAAACTAGAGCTTCTTTTGAGATAACATCTTGTAAAAGATTCTCCTTCTAGAACCCTATTCTCATTGTTAGATCCTCATTCTAATTTCTAAAAAAAAAAAATCTTTTCTCCCTTTCTGAGGATGGCTCATCAGAGAATGGCTCAAAGGAGACACACTCTAAGGCTCTCAGAAGATGAGTAAGATAGCTATCAAATTGCAGAAGAAATCTAGCATTGCATAGAGATTATAGTTCCAATCATGTTTGTGGACGATTTTCCCAATAACCCATAAGAAATGAGTTTAAAAAGGAATTATTCCAGTCCACTTATAGAAACGTATTTGCATCTGTATTGGCCTCTTCCATTCTAAATTAATTAATATTTTATACTGTTGACACCAGTGTCACCAAGAATCGTAAAATAAGAATGTTAAGGTTAAAATTATTTTTGGAATAGTGAAAACCCTTGCTCAACACTTTATAAGTACATAAGGTTAAACTATTTAATATTATACATGACAGAAACAATGCTCTAGTTAGCCAAAAAAATGTGTTGACGAATTCTAATTTTCATGACAGCTGAATTTTTCCTACCCATTCTTTTTTCTTCGCATTTTTTCCATCATCCGCAATTACAGTTTCCTCTGAAACACTTGCTTCGTCATCTTCCCCTCTTCCCCTTCCACCCTTGCCCTTGGAACAATTGCTCCTTGATGTGCCCCCTTTATTTGGCTGTTCTGTTGCAATGTCTACAGTCCCCTTACGTGGACCCACTTCTTTTTGCCCTGAAACATCCCCCCCTGAGAAATTGGGCTGGATTGGACTCTCATCTTACATAATGCTCCTGGGATTCAGCAGGAGGAAGAACACTGGATTTAGGCCTGTGTTACCTTCAGGTGCCTTACTTATTCTGTGACTACATTTGTTTGTCGAGCATAAAATAAACACTACTAATTTTTTCCATATTTGTCCAATTGCTCATACTTAAGGCACCAAATTTGCTTTTATGTTAGTATTACTATTAGTATTAAGTGTTTCAAAGTTCTCTAAAATCCACAACATATTTAGAGTCATTTTAGTGATGCAGTCCCTCTGTCTTGCAGAAAGGATGAGTAAGAGGGGAAGCTTAAGGAGGTCCGATCTCCTCATCTTGCCGAGGAGGCAAAAGCCTTTGCTTAAAAGAAAAAAAAAAAAAAAAAACCCACAGAAATCTTCAAACAGTATAAAAATAACTCAGCTTTCCCTCAGGTTAAATTATGACCCAGATTTGGGGTTAAAAAGTTTTGTCTTAATTTTCCTTTTTACTTTTAAAGGTCAGATTTAGAAATTTAGAAAAAGCAGCATAAGAAAGATGAGATGACAAACATGCTTTAAAATGTACCTGCCACCTTCACTATTCATTCATTCTTATGACTCAATAAACCTATCA